GGCAAAAACAGCAACTCTAAAAAGTCCGAGGGAAGCCACGTGACCCGGAAGCGTAACGCGTAGGGGAGGGGCTCTGATCTCACGACGCTTAAAGGCAACTACACAGCAAGTATATTGGAGTGTGGTAAACACATTGAGGATCCTGTATTTTTGTATAAAAAGCAATTTTAATTAAAATTTCATGTTAGTGCACTATATTTGTTTAATAAATATTTTAAAAAGAAGATAAGGCACTATATTATATTTTTAAATTACATGGTACTTATGCTTATGGAGAGAAAAATCTGAAGGGAGTGAAGAGACCCCTTAGTGGGAAGAGGGATAGCTTCATCCATCCATCCGCCTCCAGGAAATAGGTCTCTAGGAAGTAGCGAGACCCCCTGCTGGGAAAAGGGAAACACTCCATTCATCCATCCGGGAAACAGGGATACATTCATCTGCTCATCTCTGAGTCCCAATAATATATATATATATATATATATATATATATATATATATTATATATATAAAATTTAATTCATATATTTATATATATATATAATTTTTTTTTCATTTATTATTATTATTATACAGGATTTATATGACGCCAACAGTTTGCTCAGCACTTTACAATATAACGGGAGACAATACAGCAACAATACAGTTCAATATAAGTGGGATAGGAGGGCCCTGCTCCTTGGAGCTTACAATCTAGGAGGGAGGGGCTAGTGGTACAAAAGGTAATAACTGTGGGAGATGGACTGGTAGGAAGAGTAGAAGATTCCATTATTAGCTGAGGGCAGGATAGGCTTCCCTGAAGAGATTTGTTTTCAGAGATCGCCTAAAAGTGAGCAGAGTAGGCGATAGTCTGTTAAATTGGGGTAGAGAGTTCCAGAGGATGGGGGAAGCTCTGGAAAAGTCCTGGAGACGAGCATGGGAGGAGGAGACAAGGGAGCTAGAGAGCAGGAGGTCTTGCGAGGAGCGGAGAGTACGGTTTGGGTGATATTTAGAGACATTTATATATTTATTTATGTATAGATATTTATGTATATTTATATATTTCACATCTTAATTGTTAGTGAAGCATGTTTTTATGACCTGCTAATTTCATGTGAAAATAAAAGTGTGTTTTTGTTGATGTTTTTTTTTTTCTTTTTTGAGCTTTGTTTTGGCACAATAAAATCCCCATTTCCCATGGCCCCTCTTTGAGGCATACAGGGAATGATCTATTCTTCACTTGACATTATAGGTGATAGTGCCATGTGATTAATATGACAAGGACCCCCACCTATTATGTAATTCATATGTGTACGTTTTATGTCGAACTGTTTTTTTTTTTTTCCCACAGTCCAGAAATGACAGTTTGATTTGTATCATATTCAGTTTTTGCACATCCTAATGTATGATTTGCTTACACATATTGTCCATGTTCTATTATTTTGTGACATGTGGAAATGTTGTTCTATTATTGTTAAAACTCAAAACTAAATAAAAAATGTAAAAAAAAAGATACATTACCATAGCAAGATATTCCACATAGATTTTTGCGCCCATAGGTGTAGCCATCATTACACCACCAGTAACTATTGACCTGGAAGATGCCATATTCAGAGGGGCTTCTGTTCAAGGTGTGGTCATAGTAACTGGCATAATGAACCAAACACATATCTGAAAAAAAAAAGCAAAAATATATTTTACTTATGCATCTTTGCAGGGTCCGGGGAGACTGGATATAGTGAATGCTGGGTCCAGGGAGACCGGATATAGTGAATGCATGGTCCGGGGAGACCGGATATAGTGAATGCGGGGTCTGGGGAGAACGGATATAGTGAATGCAGGGTCCGGGGAGACCAGATATAGTGAATGCAGGGTCCGGGGAGAACGGATCTAGTGACTTTAGGGTCCGGGGAGACCGGATATAGTGAATGCAGGGTCTGGGGAGACCATATATAGTGAATGCAGGGTCCGGGAGAGACCGGATATAGTGAATGCAGGGTCTGGGGAGACCAGATATAGTGAATGCAGTGTCCGGGGAGACCGGATATAGTGAATGCAGAGTCTGGGGAGACCGGATATAGTGAAGGCCGGGTCCGGGGAGACCAGATATAGTGAATGCGGGGTCCGGGGAGACCAGATATAGTGAATGCAGGGTCCGGGGAGACCAGATATAGTGAATGCAGGGTCCTGGGAGACCAGATATAGTGAATGCAGGGTCTGGGGAGGCCAGATATAGTGAACGCAGGGTCCTGGGAGACCAGATATAGTGAATGCAGGGTCCAGGGAGACCAGATATAGTGAATGTAGGGTCCTGGGTTTAGTAACACTTTAAATATTCAGTCTTCTGCTTTCCCTGAATAATCCCACACCTGGGACAGGCATTTGTCAAGTGGGGTTAATACGAGTTGCTGGACCTGGGACAGGCACTCGTGAAGTGGTAATGCGGGGGTTAATACGAGTTGCTGGACCTGGGACAGATACTCGTCAAATGTGCCGACTATGCCCCCCCCCCCTTTCCATCCCCCTCCTTTCTGCTTCCACCCCCTCCATTCATAGAAGCCGTACTATAGCTTCCAATAATTAAACGATTTTTATGAATAAAGGAATGGGGTATGAATGACAGGTGTGCCCCCTCAATTCATAGAGCACCTTTCATTGTGGGAAGTGATAGTACAGCTTCTATTAATGGAATGGGGGGGGTGGGGGCAGAATGGGTGAGATAACAGGCCCAGCGGCTTGTATTAATCCAATCACTAAACGATTACTGCTGTGAACCTGTCACTATACAAAAAAATTCTACTAAATCATACCTGTAAAAAAATGACAGGACCTTTCCTACCGCCTGTGTTGATGAACTCCTTTTTATTGCCAAGGAATCTTCTTGCATTAAAACTGACACTTCCAGAAGTGTCAATCTCCATGGTCCCCTGTAGCTCTCACTAGTCCCTGTTGCTGGAACCAGTTAGAGACATGGAGAAGTCTCTAGAACTCAGTGGGCAGGGGTGAGGAGAAGATGGTCTGCACACTTTAGAGATCCTGGCCAATCCCCAGGCAGGATGCTTGGCATGGGGTCAGGACAGCAATTAAGAGTGAGTGAGCCTGCTCAGAGGCAGGAGAGTTCGGCTGGAAGATTTGAGAAAGGCTGAGAGGCAGGAGCCTGGGAAGAGGCTCAGTGGGAAGGGGCCAGGGGCAGACTGACAACTCATGGGACCTCCGGGCAAATAGGGGATCATGGGACCCCTGTGTCCTTGCCCAAACTCAAAAAAGCCTATGAAAAAGGTACCAGGGGCTTCTCATGGGGCCCCCTACTGACCCTGAGCCCTCAGGCAGTGCCCGAGTTTCCAAATGGTCAGTCTGCCCCTGTTAGTGCCTCCCAGAGCTGTAACATACTGCAGCTTACAAGTCCTTAGATATGGTAGCCAGGGCCTTCTATAAAGCAGGGCAGAGTGGCAGGGGCCATTTTTGTGGGGCACAAATCAGCTGCCCCATATTTCCCAATTGTCCCTCTTTACATACCTTTGTCCCTTGAAGTCTTCCTCCTGTGCTGTGTCACAATATCTCAATGTGAAGTGCTGTCACTTATACTGCCCAGCTCTGCCCTATTGCAGTGTACAGATGACCAGGGGCGGACTGACCATTTGGAAACTCGAGCTGTGCCCGGGTCAGTAGGGGGCCCCATGAGATGCCCCTGGTACCTTTTTCATAGGCTTTTTTGAGTTTGGGCAAGGACACAGGGGCCCCATGATCCCCTATTGCCCGGGGGCCCCATGAGTTGTCAGTCCGCCCCTGCAGATGACCCAGATCATGTCAGCATTCACATGTAAATATCTTGCTTTGATATATTCTATAGACTTCAATGTAGACACTGCAGAAAAGCATGTAGTGCATTTTTGATGTGTTTTCTGATGTTTTTTATGCGTTTTGCATTTTAATTCTACCCAGCAACAAGTTGGGAAAAAAAAATGAAAATCACGTCAATAATGCATGTGCAAAAACTCAAAACGCACTGCAGAAACGGATCAAATGCAAACTGCATAGGTATAAACCTAGCCTTAGGGACCAATTCTTCCATGTTCTGCATTCTTCACATTCATATAAAGCTTTATAATAGAGGCTCTCAAAGAGAAATGAGTATCATCGCAGAGTAGAAAAAGCTTGTTAATACGACAAAAAAAAGAATACTTACAATCTCCGAGAGTGTAATCCTTAATGCCGATAACACCGCCACGTTTTATGGCTTCCATCACGGTACATTTGTGCAATGCCCAGGTACCAGCGGCAAGGGCGACCACAACGAACAGACTGAAAATCTTCATCCTGCAAACACTTCGAGGAGCACCGGCGCTTTCCCTATTTATAGTGAAAAAAAATTGGTGACACAATGCATACTCCAAGTAAACAAGACACGGGGATGTCATCATGTTCACTATTTTGGGTCTTTAACTGGAATATAAAGCGATTTTGGAAATAATTCCCATTAGTTACATACCTGCCAGAAAATGGAGTCGTGGAATAGACGCATTTGCCGTTAGCAAACAAGCAATACCTTTTCCAAGAAAGTTTTCTGTGTCAATTTATTTTTAGAGGTGAAAGGAAATAACCCGCAGGGATGGACTGACCATTTGGAAACTCGGGCACTGCCCGAGGGCCCGGGGTCAGTAGGGGCCCCATGAGATGCCCCTGGTACCTTTTTCATAGGTTTTTTTTGAGTTTAGGCAAGGACACAGGGGCCCCATGATCCCCTATTGCCCGGGGCCCCATGAGTTGTCAGTCCGCCCCTGATAACCCCCCATATAATGCATAGTATGTCGAATATGAGGATTAACCACTTGCCCCCCAGAGGATTTACCCCACTTCCTGACCAGGCCATTTTTTGTGATACGACACTGCGTTCCTTTAACTGACAATTGCGTGGTCATGCAACGCTGCACCCAAATTAAATGTATGTCATTTTCCCCACAAATAGAGCTTTCTTTCATTGGTATTGGATCGCCTCTGCGTTTTTTATTTCTTGCGCTATAAACAAAAAAAGACCACCAATTTAAAATTTTTTTTTTAATTTCTGCTATAAAACATATCAAGTAAAACAATTTTAACCTCTTCCCATCTGGCCCATGTCGCTAAAATGACCCGATGAGAGCACTGCCGATGCAGGTGGACGTTTCTAAATGTCCAGTGAAAAACAAGATGGCAGTTGGCTAGTGCAGACCTGCCTGAAAGGTGGTTTCTATTAAATCCTATGCGGAGTATAGGATTTACTACATTGGTGAATGCAATATTGAATTTATTAGATCTCATGGATCGTATAAAAGCTAGACATGTCCCCCCCGCATCCATTGCCTGTGCGCGCTCCCTGGGAGCACGCAGCACTGCGATCAGTGCCCGCTGTGTCCTCTGGACACCGATCGCTGTACGGGACCTCTATGTAATGTTCTGATTCATGTGATCACTGATTGGCCAATCAGTGATCACATGAAGAGTAGTAAACAAGATGTCACTTCCTGACATCATTGTTTACTATGTGTGAAATCTGTGAATGATCACAGAGATCACATGGTACAGGGCTATTCACAACAACCTTGACCATGTGAGAAACTGTGACCAATCACAGCTCTCACAACTCTTGTTTACTACGTGTGAAATCTGTGAATGATCACAGAGATCACATGGTACAGGGCTATTCACAACAACCTTGACCATGTGAGAAGCTGTGACCAATCACAGCTCTCACAGCTCTTGTTTACTACGTGTGAAATCTGTGAATGATCACAGAGATCACATGGTACAGGGCTATTCACAACAACCTTGACCATGTGAGAAGCTGTGACCAATCACAGCTCTCACAGTATTTCTCAATGGCTGCAGGAATGCAACCAGAGAGGAGAGATGATTGCTTTTACAGCCTTTATGGGTGTAAAAGCAATCAGTGTAAAAAAAAATCTTCATCACCCCCCCACAAGTAGTAGTGTCACTATGGTGACACTGTACTGCTAGGGTGACAGTATGTTAAAAAAAAACCCATAAATAATAATATTAAAAAAAATTTTTGGTTTATAAACTAATTTGTGTTTTGTTTTTTTTTTTTCTAAAACGATAGCTGAATACATTTTGGCCAAGATTTATGCAGAAAGATTTATTTATTTGCAAAATTTAATAAGAAAAACACACTTATTTTTTTCAAAATTTTTTAACTTTTTAATTTTTAGAGCAAAAAAAATAAAAAAAATCCCAGTGGTGAATAAATATCACCACCAAAATAAAGTTTTTATCTGTCTAACAAAAAGCTAAAAAATTCATATGGGTACAGTGTTGCATGTACGCACAATTGCCATTCAAAGCGTGATAGCGCTGAAAGCCGAAAATTTACCTGCAACTGCGGTGCGGCTACTCAGAAGGGCTAACCAGTTACCCACTGCACATCCTCTTCACCTGTGTTTGCAATAATAGAACACAGCAGTAAATTCTTCAAATAGGGATTTTAATTACTCGAATACTGTGGTTTGAGAAGTCTCCATTAGTCCTCCAAAGATGATACCTTGAGAGACTTTCTCCAGTAGCAAGCTTGGCCCACCAGATGCGAGTGATGCCTGTGAAAGCATTGCAGCAAATACAATTTCTTGACAAGTACATGAATTTGGCACACGTTGCACCACTTTTAGAGTGCCCTCAAGACACTTTCACAAATTCCCTCTTTGCCAGTCTTCAGGAATTTCAGCAATAATCTTTTAACCACTTTCCCTCCTGCGGATTTACCCCCTTCCTGACCAGGCCATTTTTTGAGTTACGGCGCTGCCTTACTTTAACTGACAATTGCGCAGTCATGCAACTCTGCACCCAAATGACATTTACGTCCTTTTTTTCCCATTAATTGAGCTTTCTTTCATTGGTATTTGATCTCCTGTGTTTTTTTATTTTTTTGTGCTATAAAAAAAAACCGACAATTTTGAGTAAAAAAAACTATATTGTTGACTTTTTGCTATTAAGCATGTCCAGTAAAAAAAAATTTAAAAAATCAAAATTTGGCATAAATTTAGTGCAAAATATATTCTGCGACATAAAAAAACTCAATGCGTGTAAATTAATTGGTTTACGTGAAATTTATAGCATTTACAAATGGCGGTATAGATACTGGAGGTTTTTTTTTTTTTTACTAGTAATGGTGACGATCAGCAGCTTATAGTGGGACTGTGGCGGGCATTCTGACACTGGGGGGAACTGACTTGGTGTCACTGACATCCCCAGTGACACCAATACAGTGATCAGTGCTAATAAAAAGCAGATACTGTACTAATGGCACTGGGCAGGAGGGGGTTAACATTTGGGGCGATCAAAGGGTTAACTGTGTGCTGTTTCACAGTAAGCTGTGTCTGCTTTCAACTGTAAGCACACTGCTTTGTATGGCTCTGCTATACAGAGCCATACAAAGCAGTGTGCTGTAGCTGACAGGGAAGAGAACTGTATTGTTTACATGCAGCTCTCTCCCCCC